TCACCCTTTTAATTCTTAACAGTTTTATTAATTGTGTTAAATGTATAGCCAGAATGCTAAACAATTATGATCAAGAAGAAAAATGGAGCTATTACATTCATTGTAAGTTATCTGATATCAGAGTTACAGACACTTACTCAGACGGGACTCAATTTGTAGACAGACCATGTAGAAATACAGATCATCACAAATCTTTTAAGTCGATAGGTTTTCATACAAACATATCTTCCCAGAGAAATACAAGTGGTGTTTAGATTCTAAGACTAATATTTAAAAAATAGCCAAAATTTGGGGCTAGAAATAGAAACTATTTATACAAAATAAGAAAACACTTATAATTTAAAATATATTACAATTATAATTATAAAATATTATTCTATTTCAAAAGAAAAGTCATTTTAAGGAAAGAGTAGATGGAACTTTGGGGGAGTCTCTTTTTCAGACTTGGGGTGCCTAGATGGCCTCTAGGAGCTAATGGCATCAATTCCTTGGACCACATTTCTTAATAAAATGCTTCGAGGGAAGTCTGGAAGTTATCATTCTCAAAGCTTTAGGACACACAATTATAACAAAGATTTGGGGAGATTATCTCAAGGTAACCAAAGAGTTAAAGGAGAAGGAGAGAAGGCAGGTGTTTAACACATTGACTGCCACATTAGAAAAAAACATTTTTTCCCTGGGGCCATAGTGTTTTATTAAAACAAAATGATCCTTTCTAATTTGTTACTTTTTATTATTTTCTGTGTGTAAGTTATATGCAATGCAATTCATGTTTTTAGAATTAAATTGCCAATATTAATTGTAACTAAGAAAATCAAGATTTTTATGAACCAATTGCAGGGTTTTGCTTCATTGGGTCCTGGGGTTAAAACTAGCCTGAGTTAAATACAACTCACATGGCAGTCAATGTGTTAAGACCATTAATGGGGAGGCACAGGACAACTCATGTGAGATGAATTAAATGAGGAGACTTGTGAGTAGTGAAAATGGGGTGAAAATGACAAACCATCCTAATATCCAGTAGATGAGGAGAATGACAGGATATGAAGAGAAATGAGTCAAGGAGTTAGAAGCAGAAGAGTCTGTAGAGTGTGACCAATATTCCACATAAAATGTCACCTCTCATTCAGATTTGGGGGATTTTCTAGCTTATGGCAAAACCTCCCACAAATGTCCCAAAAGACAGAGATCTGTAACTCTCATGTAAACAATAAGTTCTCCCTCATCAGAACTAAAATGTTATCAATGTGAATTTGAAAAATGAAAATGGAATTTTGAAAAATACCAGAAAAAATTAAGTCACATAAGCCTAGTTTCATCAGACATTAAAATACACACACACACACACACACACACACACACACACACACACACACACACACACACACACTAATTCTCATTGTCTTATTCATTGATCCACTTCTATCCTTTCTGATAACCACCAGCAAGAAGCTAGGCATGGTAGGTAGGATGATACCAATCTTCTCAATAAATCAAAATTCAGTCTATAGAGTGGCTTTCATGGACCTGTGTGGCTGCTACAGGTCACCTTTTTCTCTTTATCTTTCACCTCATCTCCCTGCAAATCCCCTATTCAGTATCCCAGGACTCCTTATTGATCGCGCTTTCCTTCAAACAGCTATTTTCTTTCCATCACCTTTTCCCTTGGAAATCTCATACCCCTAGGGCTTTAATACACAGCATTGCCTCCCCACCCCGGGCTTCCCTCTAGCTTCAGTCTCACTCCTATTTCCAATGTCTGCTGGATTTTACCTGGCTGTTCAAAACAGGTTTTAAAATGCTATGTGTGAAACCGAACCGATCACTGTCTTTTCTGCTTCCTTGAATGGTACCATCATTTTCTCAGACACTCAGGGCTGTGGCTTTGCAGGTATGGCTCTTTGTTGTCCCTCCCATCCAAGTAATTGCCAGGTCCTACTCATTTGTGCAATATTTCTTGCATCCTTTTTTCTTTCTATCAGTGAACATAGCTGTAACTTCCACTCTGTTCATTTTCTTTCTCTTTCAGTCTTGTCTGCCTGCTGCTACTGAAGCAGTCAGTTTAAATAGAGACTACTCTGTGCTGTTCAATTGTTCAAAAATGGCAACGGATCTCTATTGAAGTTCACTTTTCTTAGCCTGACATCAAAGATTCTCTGTTGCATCAACTAAACTTAATTTCTTCTGATTTAGACCTTACCTCCTTTCCTTCCTGTAATGTATGTTGTGTTTAAATTGAACACTTAGTGGTATCTTAATTGTGCTTTATACTTTCCACCTCCAAGTAGTTCCTTCTGCTCCTTCACTGGAATGTTCGTTTCTCCTTCCCTGGTACACATGTTCAAGTGCTGACTATTCAATAACAAGCATGACCTTTACCTTGTTAAGCAAGTTTTCCTTTGATTTACTAAGTTGAAGGTGATCATCTTTTCCTTGCACTTTGACAGTACTTCTGTTTCTAAACTTTGGCATATTTATAACTTTTTAGGTTGTTCCTTCTTTTGTTTATATTTCTTCTTCCCTATTTGATTAAAGTCAAATAATTTGATTCATGTAACTCTGAATTTCTCTATATCACTTAGTGTATGAAAAAGGTATAGTCCTCCTCAAGGAAGTTAGCATTGGTAGGAGAGAAAAGCACTCATGCAAGTAACTACAGTATATTTAAGAATAGATACTGAGTGACTGGAAGAGGGTATTAAAATCATTTTTATTTTATGTCCCTGTGGAAGAGTGAGGACATTATGTAGTCTACATAATACTACCTTATGTGGACGAAAATTAAAAAATTCTGTCATCAACATTATTCTCCAAAAGTCCTGGTAAATATTACTCAGCCAGATAATCTAGGTGTCTTTTTATGGAAAAAACCTCTAAGTGAGAGATTTTAAGATAGAAACAACATTAGTACAGATATATATACATTTTTGGGAATCTTAGTGGAAATTCATTTGTCATTTCACTTTGAAAATGGTTTAGATTTAAGCTTGTCCAACTTCATTAAGAACTGACTTAATGTAATGTTGACTTTGTCCATTTCTGCTGACTTTGTCTTGTTGGCTGGGTTAGATTTCTAGAAATTTCACCTCTGTATTCTGGGGTGGAATGATCATTCCATTTTGCTTAAAAATAGTTTTACTGCTGTGGATAGTTTATCTTTACAATTTTCTTTTTAATCTTTTAGTATAATCACTGTTTCAGGTTTTTCACGCACAGCATCCATAACTTATTAATAATTTTGGCCACCCTTGTTTCTGATAAATGAAACTCTAGTCAGTATTGTGTTCAGTTTTTTACATAAGATAATGGTCTGAAATCTGCACAATAGGCATATATTAGATTTTTTTTTGTACTAGATTGGACTGGATACTTTTCATTTTGAGTTTATACTTTAGGAGTCACATTGGCAAGATTCTCACAAAAAAAAAAATCTGAGTAATTCTCTAGCGAGACTGTGAACCTTCAGGAGATTTACAGGACTATTGGGGCAAAGAATAAACAAAGGCTGCTAATGCTGGTACAGAATGTGAATGCTGAAGCATTACCAACATCTCTCTTTAGGATGATGCATTTATTTATGCTAATGAATTTATTTGTGTTCACTGAATTCCAGCTCATAACATAAAGCCCCGAGTATTCATTAAGAAGCAATAAAAATCCTTGCTTAGCCAGTGAGGCATTATTAGCTGAATCCTCTCATGAGGTTCATGTCACTGCTCAGGAAGTTTGTAGTATATGGGTCAAATTTCTTATGTTCTTTTAGTTGCAAAACAGAACTTAGATCCTAATCGAAACCATCTATGAGAATTCTCTAAAGCTGCCACCAGCTCTCTGGGCTACTCCATCGTTTGCTAAAGATAGTTACAAATGTCCTGTTTGTTGATGTTCTATGAAATTAATTTTATGTGTTTAGAGAAATTTATAGTAAATGGTTCAATACATTGAGACTTGGTGCGACAAGGGGCATTTAGAAGGCATGGTGAGTGTTTTACAATTTGAAATGCTCTGCTTAGTTGCTCTAAACATGGTATGTCCTGAGTGCTCCCATTGAATTGAAGCTGTCTCTAATCTCTACTAGATATGTCCTACACAGTGGAATGCACTTCTGCTTAAGATCTGCATCCTGTTATCCATAAGTACTGTAGTACTTCCTTGAGTTTCCTTCTAATTACCTTGGACCTTGACAGACCCCTCCTCTCTAATCCCACTGCATTGGACTAGGTTCTCTATACCCCTAGTCACTGAGAGGGGCCCTGGTTTAATCCAGAGAGAATATAGACATGGATGTACTTACCTGAGCATCACCACTGCTTTCCCTGTTTACCCACACTCCACACTTCCTTTCCTTTCCACCCTTAGGGTCAGATCTCTAGGATATCAAAGACAGCCCAGATAGACACAGTTTCTTGAATATCCTTGGGCTGCTGGCACTCTCCCTTCAACCCCAGGTGGCCAGCTGTACAGCTAGTCCTGCTACCTCAGTTTGTTCAGGACTGCTTGTTCTATACTCATTGGGTTCCCTAGAAGTTGACTTTGGGTGCTTACAATGAAATGTTAATTCTTTCCATTTTATAATGTTTTTTAATGGTAAAATTCTTTATTTTTTAAAATACAGACCCCCCTATTTATTTCAATTAATTCCCAAGAGAAGTAATTCATCAGTTTTTAAGGTCTGCTTTGGGTGAAAATGCCTTACAAGACTATTTCCTAATAGTCATTCTATCAGATGTTCAAATAATACAATGAAAAGGTGTACTAATAGATACAATATTTCTACTAGAAAGACATTCTCTAGAAAAATCACTTTTGAAACTCCTTACTCTTTTTTTTCATTTAATAAAACCATGAAGCATTTAGTTCAACCAGGACACAGACTTTTAGAGCAATCTCTTTAGTTGGTTGAAAGAATATTCTTGCATTAGATGGAAGAATATGGACACACTACAAAATGTGGAATTATAATGGACAATAAAGAAAGCCAGAGTAAAAGGAAGTATTACCTTAGGGTCATGTATTCCAGAAAGCTCTTCATAGATCTTCTCACCTACCATGACGGCAGCCAAGTTTGCAGTGTATGTAGAAAGGCAAAACATACAGAAAATGGCCCAAAGGTTCATTAGAAACCTTCCAGTCCAGCATTTCGGGGGTTTGATGGCTACCGTTCTACCAAACAAGAGGGCATAACAGACATTCAAGGCTGAAGAAAAGGAGAAGACTTTACTTCTATTCCGCCCCTTGGGAGTCATTCCAAAGGGGCTCTTCCATTCATACAGAGTGAGAAACATGGCAGTGATGTGCAGAGCCACGAAAATCCCCAGCCACATTGTCCAGTGGAGTGGCCACATGAAGGCTCCAATGGGAGCTGCTGTGTCTCGGGTCCTCACTAAGATGCCCAAGCTGGTGGAGAAAAAAGGGCTGGTGAAATCTATCACCTGGCTCCGTGCAGTATTGATGCTGAAGGAAGTGACTGCCATGTGGGCAGTCCCACTCAGGAGATCACCCACCAGCCCAGTCCAGTGCCCATTTTTCCAGGCTCCATACTTTCCATCCCCAACAATATAGAGATCAAAGTCAAAGTTCATGTCTTCTGCTAGCTTTTCCAGCAGATCGATGCAATATCCATAGCAGCACTTCTTGAATTTAATGGGCACTGTATCATTACCACTGTGGAGACTGCTAAAAAGGCTGTCCAATATAGAAGAGTCATTAGTCATGGGGTCTAGACAGAGCTGGCCAGCGGGGCACAAGCCTTCATCGTCTACCTCCCTTGTGAAGACAAACGGATGCTCAATCAAGGTAACCACTCTCAAGTGTAGCTTACTCGGGTGTTGGAAGTGGGTTTTGTGTCTCTGGGCTGGCTCTGGCCATACTCCATAGTCCATGACAATCTTGCCCCCCTGCCAGCTGCCCAAGCGGGTCCACATGGGCTTTCCCATGGGGTCATGTTGCAGATTCCAGATGAAAAAGTTGTTTTCTGAGCTGATGATGGTGGAACCTTTTACTTTGATGGAACCACTGAGGCCTCTGAAAGTGGTGTTGGCTAGAAACCTGGCAAGGAGGAGCAAAGGCAAGAAGTAAGGAAGAGAGGTGAGGCCAAAGACAGGAAGCACTGTCCTTCTTTGCTTCTCTGTCTTAATAAAAATATGCTCTACTTATTGTTAAAAATGACATTGCCTATAATTTCTTCAGGAATTAATAAAATGGAGTACAATTCTAGGAGTACAATTCTATTTCATTGAGCTAATAAGATCTTACCCTTAGGTTCTAACACCTTGATCAGGTGCTTGACTCTTGATCTTATCCCAAACCTTTTAATTACTAGTTAAGAGACATGTTAACTGTTTCTTGTTGTAAACTGTTAAGTATATATTCTCACAACTTTTCAAGCTATGGAGGTTCTTAGCATCTTTAGCGTGTCCAATTTCTACTGTTGACTACATTTGATTGCCACTATATTTGCTCAATAAATATATATTTTTTGTTGTGAGGAATGAATTTTAATAAGTATGTACATACTTTTATAATTGCTTAAAAATTGCATTCAGAGCATTGAAAAATAGCCAAATATTTTTACCAGTGTTTCTTTTTGTAGAGTGGAAACAATTAACATATCTGTCCCCATGAGCCAGTGGAAACTGCATGTTGGGTATCAACCGTGGAACAAAGGAAAAGATGATAAATCAACTTGCAGTTCTCAGGATAGCTTCAGGCTACTCTCCCTCTAAGTCATCAGAGAAAAACAATTGGCCCTGCCTCTAGGGAGCTTTTACCAGAAGTCAAATCAAGGAAAATTACTAACTGATTTCTAACCCTGTGACCTAGGGCGGTTTCAATGTTGTTCTGATACAGACTAGACAGGAAAGCTAGACTGATTTGGCTTGGTCGTAGCCTCTGTCTTTCTTGAGTCTGGGAAGATAAGTCAATAAGAGGTAACATATGAGCTTGTGGTACCTTAATGAGGTCCTGTGTCAAAGTAAAAGCCCAGACTTTGACATCAGACACATCCACATTTGAATATTGGCCTAGTCGCCTGCAAGCATTGACCTTGGACAATTTACTTAACTCCATGCTTCAGTTTTGTCATCAGCAAATGGAGAAAATAATACTTCATTACAAGAGTTGGAAATAATTGATGTAAAGAACATACCATGCCTTCTGATATGGAACATATATTCCAGATATGGTAGCTATTATTTAATGTCATTCAAGTTTTCTTAAATCAGAGCTGTTTCCAGGCCACTTTTCCAAGACTTTTATTATAATTTTTCTAGTTGAAGACACAAAGTACTGCATTATGGCAAACCCATAGTATGTACTAAAGACACATTTCAAATTAAAAGGAATTAAATTGAAATGAAGAATGTAACATAGTAGGTATTTTGAAGAACCAGATGATAGAAGTCTGGGCTCTCAGCAAAACACATTCACCCATTGGCTGTCATAAATATTATTCCCTAATTTACAAATGCATATAGAAGTTATGTTGCCACAAAAGGGCCATAAAAATTTTTAAAAAGTGTGAAGTATATACTAATTTTCATTAGAGATACAAATGTAAATCACATTTGAAGATGCTACTATCACTAAATGTAATGAAACTATTTATTTTGGTAGATTGCATGTAATGGTAATTATTCATATTAGCAATCACCAGTGGGATGCTAGCACTTAAATGCTATTTTGCGATAAGTAATGAAGTCTCAGCTCTCTTAGACTTTAGAAGTTTTCTGCTTCTTTAGAGAAGGAGCCAAATCATTAAAATATACAGATTAATCAATTGATAATTACCTCGGTACTATAAGGGAAGGGTGGCTACATTGATAAGAAATCTACTTATCTCTGATAAGAAACCTACTTTTATATTTGCTAAAACAACCACACACACACATTTGCTGACATAACCCAGGGAATAAAATAGACTAGTAAATAGGTTAGTTTGTTTTGGTCAATTTAATGATCAGGAAAGTAAGGTGAAAGTTTTGGAAAGAGGAGCTCTTCATTTATCTTAAGAATATTTGGGGCTTAATAATGATAGATTTTTAACTGGATGGGCACTTGAGAGATTACCTCTGACTAAATATATACTTAAACCATCTCAGAAAAAGGCATTAGGAATCTTCAGAAATCTTTCAGAGTGAAATCTTTCAGAGTTTATGCAACTCTCTCATTCCGGTAAAACCTATTCCTGATTATTGGTTTTAAATAACATTTAAGATAGCGTAACAGAAGGACAGTGCTCAGTTGTCTTTGAGGCAGTTATTTGCCAAAGAAAGCAAATGAGGATCTGAATGTCTCCAATTTTCTTAGCAGAGAAAACCCAATACTTGTTTCACTGTGCAATTGACACCAAAAAATTGGGTCCCAGGGAATCACCATCACAGATTATTTATGACTGTTTTATTTTTAGTCTTAAGAGGAAAAGTTAGAATAATCTCAATGACAGCTTTTACTTATAGACACCTTTACTAATGGGATGACAACACATTGCAGAGTTTAAGTGCTCTTTATTTACCTTAGTTACAAGATTAGAAGAATGAAATCCTGCTTTTGCTTACATTGAAATCTATCACATTCCTTTTTATCTTGGCCAGGACTCTTCTTGAATAAACATGCAAAAAAAATCATGAATAATTTTATTGGCAATATAAACTGATACAAATACCTAGCACTGTTCTTAGCACTAGGGTTGCAGAGATGAAAGACAAGCTCATTGTTCTTGAGGAGCTCAAAGTCTAAGTTTCAGGAAGAAAGAAAGTGGGAAGGCAATTCAAACCGTAACAATGAGCATCATGATATAGCTAAACCTGGTGCCACCGGAACAGAGGAGTAAGGGAACCTGCACATTCTCCTCCCTTGGGGTGCCAAGGAAGGCTCCTTGGAGGAGGAGGTGCCAGAGCTGAGTCTTGGAAAAGGAATTACAGTAAGCTGGGAGGAGAAGCTGGGAAATGAGGCTGTCAACCCAGAGAGATACGTGTACGAAGGCCAGAGACAGAGAGTGCAAGCTGTGTGATGATGAGAAATGAAAAACAGTCTGGAGAGGAGGATGCAAATGAATTGCACAGGCCACAGTGAAGATAATGAGGCCACAGTGAAGATAATGGGGAGCCATTTAGGGGATTTTGTCTGGGGAGGGACATGATCATTACATTTGATTTTAGAATGAATTATTTTCCTTGCTAGCTCTATAGGAAATAGTTTGAAAGGAAGAGGGGGCTGAACATGATTCTACATGTGAGGAATAATGGTCCTTCTCTCTCTCACTTCCTCTCTCCTTGCTTGTTTCATAAGGGGCGTGGGGTTTCCAGGGCTAAAGTAGTAGCAGAAGTGGAGAGGAGATAGTATACCCAGGAGATATTCAGTCTTCAAAAAGAAAGACAGTGATTAAGAGAGCCAAATGCACTGGGTCGTGTTTAGTCCACAAGCCTTACTAAGCATGTGTGAAACTCAGCTTGACAAAAGGTCATATAAATAAGACTTGCAGTGTTTAGTTTAATATAAACTTGATGTACGCACATAGAGCAACAAGGGTATGAAAAAGGAAAAAATCTTAAGTTACTTTAATACACATTTAGAGTCTGGATCAGAGGGAAGAAGAATACCATCATTCTCTGTGCTGATTAGATAACTGCTCCAGCCTGGATATAAACTCTAAACAAATCTTCCAGAGTCAGGAATGTATGAAGCAAGGTAAGAAAGAGGGAAATGTAAAAGGGAGTGAGTGGTCAGCACAGCAGTCTGATTGCAGAGCAGGGTAGAAAAGTATTAGGAAATAATACAGGAAAAGCAGATTGCAATTAGACTATGAGATTGGATTTTGTTTTAGTAGAAAAAGGGAGCCATGAAGATTTCTGAGCAACATAATGACATAACTAGAGGTCTGCTTTAGTAATATTGATCTGGAAGCAAGTGAAATGCACATAAAGAGAAGAAGAGATGGTGACCAGGAGATCACGTAGAAGGGTATTACAATACCTTTGTCATGGTATGACAAAAGTCTGGATCTCACTCTGAGTGAGAAACTAGTTTAGCACTGCGCCTTGCATGCAGTGAGTGCTTAACAAAGCAGTTCAGGTATTCAGCTTTTTTATAAGCAAACCTCCCTAGGTACCACTCTGCTTAAAAGAATGAGGCTCATTAGTTAATATTAAAAGCTCCCAATTATGTCACTAAGAATATGTGCTGATTTGGACAACAACTGAGATAAAATCTGTACTTCGTAAATTATTTAAATGTTTTTGAGACAGTTTACAGTATAAGCAAGATCAGTATTTAATATATTCATGATTTATTTTAGAAGCCATATTTGTACACAAAATCTTGACTTGCTAATTAAAGAATCTATATACTTGTCCATCAAAAAGTGAGCACCACATCACCCACTCAATCATTTATTCATTCCACAACACTCACTATGTGCCAGGCACTGTTCTAGGAGCTAGAGATATAGTAGTGAATGAAGATAACAATCTACAGCTTATATTCTGTTGAAGGAGACATAATAAATATGATAAATTGGTAATATACATGGGATATTATTTAGCACTGAGTGCAAAGGAAGAAAAATAAAGCAGGGAAGGCCAGGAATAACCTCTCTGAGAAGGTGAAATTTGAGTAAACAGCTGAAGAAAGAAAAGGAGCTAGCCATCTGGGTAAAGAACATTCCATGTACAGGCAATAAAAACTCCAACATCCTTGAAGTGAGATTGTGTCTGACATGTCTGAGGAGGGGATGAGGGGCAAGAGATTTGGAGATGAGGTCAGAGAAAATTTATAGGCAAATGAGATTTGGTGACAATAGGATTTTGTGGGTCATTGTAAGGACTTTGTTTCTTTATGTGAAATGGAAAGCCATTGGTGGGTTTTGAGCAGAGAAGTGATATAACTATGTTTTAATAGGAAGGAAGCAGAAAAGACCAGTTAGGAGGCTGTTTCAAACACCCAGAAAAAGGAGGGTGGATGGTAGTTTGAACTGAGGTGGTAGCAGTAGTGGTGGGAAAAAATTGTTGGATTTTGATATGTTTTCAAGCTGGAGCTGACAAGATTTGCTG